AACTCAGCATAGCAGTACTTTGAGTACTACGTAACTGTTAAACATACAAGTAAAGTAAAAGCCTATATATGACCCATGGCTGGGCAAAGGCCTCCTCTGTGCAGAAAGCATTAAAGCGGTTCACCGCGTGACCCCATTGCGGTTTGGCGGACCTCAATTATCTTCGAAATCATCTTAGTTGTTATTATTTCGAAAATATGTAGGTTTTCCTCACTATGTTTTCCTTCACAGCTGAGCGCGTGATAAGTCAACAATTTAATTGGCGCGGCACCTGGGATAAACTCAGGTTGCTCGAGTATTTTGAATAATAATTAACGCTCACATTTAATAAGCTATCGCGGCTCGTCAAAAATACCTACTTAAAATTTTATAACAATACTAGCGGACCGGACAGAAGTTGTCCTGTACTCATGACTTAAATACGACAACTTAGAAATAAAAAAAAAATTTAGTGAATCTAAACCATCGAATCGACCTGAAGACACCCAAAAAATTTCATTAAAATTGTTCCAGCCGTTTGGGCTCCTCCCAAAGTATACACACGTACTGAAGAATTATATGTATAAAGATTTGTTCGGGGGCGCTGCGTCCCAAATACATTTTTTTTTTATTTAATGCATGAGTTTGATTACAATTGTTGCGTGCGTTAAACGTTCACCGCGACCAATAATTAAGGAGGAAGATGAAAACTAATAGAAAATATAACCTAAATTAGCACAGCTACAGAAGCGATACTATCTGCTGTTGTGTATTTTAATTCTGATATTTAAGCACCGTTATTTAGAAACCTTGCAGTTGGTTGAGCTTGTTTATTTATTTGATTAATTACCATATAATTATGTTCAATGGTTCTTTGCTATAATTTTCCCTTTGTAATTCGAGTGAATTCTAGAAAATTCATTTCGGCGACGATATCATACGAATAGATGATAGAGCTTCGGAGTCTTGAGCGGTAACTGGAATTAAGTTCAATTAGTAAATTTAGTTCAATTATAATTTGATTACAGGTTATGCACCACTGATTTTAACACTCCGCCGTATGTCTGTCTGTCTGTCCATCTGTCACCGGGCTATATCTCATGAACCGTGATAGGTAGACAGTTGAAATTTTCACAGATGATGTATTTCCGTTGCTGCTACAACAAATAATATATTTACGTGGTAATAAATAAAACATTTACGTGGGGCCCCCATACAACAGACATAGTTTTATTGCCGTATTTATTGATCGAGTTGCACTTGGCCAGTTTTTGATATTTTTTTGTAATGTGAAAAGTTGGCAGTAGGCGGCTCGCCTCATGTTACGTGTTTACTGACACCCATGGACATCTAGGACATTCGAGGTGTTGTAGATACGTTGCCAACCTTCAGAAACAATGGACACCAGCTACCTTATTCACCCGACGAAAGGCAATAGTATAAATCTTCTACATCACGCTCTTTTGTCCGGCCGTTATACTCCCCCGGAAGAGCCTGTTGTTGTATGCAACAATTGAATGGCTAATAAAAACCACAGTGAAAAATACTAATTCAGAAACTTGCACTAAGCACAAAACAGCGTTATTATGATGAAGCAGAAATTTAATCGTACGGTAACTTGACTTAACTGGAATTGTTAAAACAAAATATGGGCAATGACGGCAAGCAAGTTTAATAACAGTTCCGACGCGATGACAAATGTAACTAAATTGAGATAAAATTTGGATTTGAATTTTCAACCGACTTCAAAAAAGGAGGATGTTCTCAATTCGACTGTATTTTTTTTATGTTTGTTACCTCAGAACTTTCGTCTGAAAGAACCGATTTTGATAATTCTTTTTTTATTCGAAAGCCGATGCTTCCCACGTGGTCCCATATCATTGGTATTGGATCTTGGACTCCGGAGATATTTACCGAACTTCTGTAAATCAATTTTAAAATGAATAGAGAGCGAAATATTCAAAGTCGGTTTTAATTTTCGTTTGTAAAAAAATGGACTTGTTCCTTAAATCAGCCGTGATAGATCTGTGTTCGGACGCTCGCTTCTAATTCAATGTACTAGAGCAACGCGAGTTCAAAGTTTTTTTTTATTTCATTGCTGATCTGATTATCCGTTAATTTATTAATGAAAAGTATTTCTCATATACAATTATAAAAGTAATTTGTTACCATTTCGGATTTGTTTGAATTGAAAGTCTGGTTAAGATTATGCGAATTGAATGACGTCATCAACATTATGCGAATTGTAGATCGATGTATACTTAAACACCCTTTTTGTTAACATTCAACTACAAATTTTACAGAATACAGCAAGTCCAGTTCCTCTATTACCTACTTTATACAACATTGTTAAGTTTTACAGACGATTTTTTTTATGTGAGCAGTTTTTTTTATGTGCAAGCTATCTGGCAGTTTACCTGGTGTTAAATGGTAACCCAACACCCTTGTAAAGTGTGATCCTGTTACCAAACACACCAAAAGAAACTTTAAGAAGTGTTTACTTCCACTTTACTCCGGTCTTCCTCCAAGTTGTGTTTGCTACCTGGACAGACCTGTCTACCTAATTAATAATATTGAGCCGCCAGTGTCTTGTTGATCACTCAACTCTTAGAAGTAGGTTAATATTTTAACGGTGGCTGTAACAGGTCGGCTATTCGTGGCATCTTAAATAATAATAATCTGAAACTATGGATTCAGCTTTTTAATATTATAAAAGCATATCTATATAGGTAAAACGAAAAATTGCTTTTATATAATTAAAATCATGTGGTTAGTGCTAAAAACTCGTATATATTTGTAGCGTTGTTGTTGCGTTGCGTAAGTTGAAAGCAAACAATTTTATTAAAGAGTTCATTGTAAAAGCGATTATATTTAGGTAAGGTAAAATCGGTAGTCTTTTTATCTACACTTTCACTAAAAGTTCCCTCGGCAAAGCTGATTTTACCGCCGCGTTACATTGCAAGCTACAAATCCACCTGGTTAGAGGGGCTTAGAAGTTTTCCACCGCTATGCGGGAAGGAATGTTTATTACGCTGTCGGAAGGATGCCGTTTTCCTTTTTCATTTCAGTTTATTATTGTGGACGTTCATTTGAATATGATCTTCCTCAAAATCCGTTAAACATTTCCCTCAAACTTATGGTAATTTTGTTTATTGACCATTTCGTAAAAACAAAGGGAATATAATTATTGTACTATGACATTCGTTAGGGTGATCGGAACGAATGAAATTCGTACGTAGCGCTACGAAACGAATGAAGCATTTTAGCATCAGTTGAGCATTTCTGGTGGCGTGCACAGAGATTTCAGGGAGTGTATGCACACAAAATTACCAATCTATCTAACTGATTGATGATAAAAATAACAGGTGAATTAAATTATGACTCCGTAACACAGTTGTCAAAGTACTGGCTTCGGCCGCGGAGGTCGTATAACCCAGATCATGTAACCATACATTGAGGGCATTGTTTAAAAATAATGATATCCAAAGTGGCATATGAAAGGACTGTAAAAAGATTTTTGTTGCGTAGCCTATGGACTGTAAAACTGGCTTCAACTAAAAAAAAATGATATTCTTACTGTCACTGGGTTTTGTGTTTTGGTTGATACGCAACGTTTTTTTTGTATACACAAAATGCACACGCACGGCTTCTAAGCGTATTAATCGTTATGGTAACATATACGTCGGCGTTCATTCTTCCATTTGCGAGGCCGACAATTAGTAAGCGATGCGCGACCATTACGCGAGCCGCATCAATACGTCAGCGGGTGCTCACGGATAAATAGACATCGCTTTTGCACGCCCGTTTTCGAATGCTCCATTGGGCCGTAAGGCCCGAGTCCAACGGAAGCGAGGCAGAACTTTTATCGCGAACGGACATCCCGATTTACACTAGTCAAGTGTTTAGTAGAGTGTCTACTTGTCTAAATGAGTGTCTACAGTGAGTAAGTACAACAATGTATACCGTCAACGCGAGTCAACTCGCCACTGTCCTTCAGCTTATGTACGCTTATGTACTGTACTTGTCAACTGTTCTAAAAACTTGAGCAATGTAATCGGGCTTTATAAATGTGAACTCAAACTTGCTTCACGTACTGTCGTAACGTACGTCAATGAGCAATAAGCGTTTTTCTCTCAATTTTATTGCACGCACAACCGAGTTGTGGAATCATTTGTCGCCCAAATCGGTATTTCTTACAAAAAAACATATTCCTACAAAAAAACTTAACTGGTATTTAATTTATTTAAGTGTTAATTGGACTCTTCTTAAGGTATTTAACACAGAACTTGTAAATTGATGAATTTTATGACACTTAAATTCGAATGTCGTGATAGCTTGCCGCCCGCTTTTCTTATTACAGTCGAGCAAACCCGAGTTCAAAAACCACCAACGAAATTGTTAATTGCAATTTTTGGGTGACTTATTATACGCTCATCGATGAGAGAAACATCACGAGTAATCGCAAATTTTCAAAATCATTTTTCAAAGAAAAATTTCGAACATATTATGAGAGAAAGAGAGAGAAGGTATCTGCTTATTCAAAGTGCAGTCGTGTCCTAATACCCTCTGAACAAAGACTATGTCCTAATACCCTCTGAACAAAGTCATTGCTCATCAATGGGGCATATATAGACTGTTACCCTTCACTACATAGTATAAAACAAAGTCATCCCGCTGTCTGCGTGTCCCTATGTATACTTAGATCTTAAAAACTACGCAACGGATCTTGATGCGGTTTTTTACTAGATAGTGATTCAAGAGGAAGGTATATATAATACATTGCACCCGTGCGAAGCCGGGTGTTTTATTTATTATTTATTATATTATTTATTAAATTTCTAATCGGCCGTTAGAATCCTATCTGACGACGTTTTACACTTATGATTTAGACAGGGATGAAACGTTCTTCTCCTTTAGTACAAGTCAGTAAAACATATAACTTCATCGGGCGTAGAGTTCGTGAAAAGGTCACTTCACACGAGCTTGATAGACCCTACCTAAACAAACTTGCGCATGTGGACATGCGCACGTCAACATATATGTGGGGATTGTCGGCTACAGACCAAAGAGGTCTGGTATGCAGGTCATTACGTCTGTGGCCGACGACACCACGGCAACAAACAGCACATTGCAAGTTCCAATTTCTCTTTGCATGTTATTTGCTATTTACTACTGGCTTTTAATCAGCTTAGCTATTACTGTGGAAAGCAGCCCTTAATATAGACGAACAACTGCAAGTCAAAATCAACTTAATATCATCTAACTAGGTAACCATTTTGTTTGTGCCATATTTATTCCCAATGGGACATCTCACCGCCAACTCGATTTAGGCTTACTTAATATACAGTTAAAAGTCAGTTTTGAATGTGTCCTGATATTTATTTTTATTTTGTATGAGATAAGTTTGTGTTTTATTTCACTTGTCCCTAACGGTAATAAAATTCCACTAATGTGTTGATACCGTAAAGGGGGACTTGGAAAGGCAAACTGTAAATTGGGCTAAATACGGCTCTCCCGATATTACTAGACTATGAATACGCTGTTGAAGTAATATTAGAGCGCTTTATGCTCAAAATACTTAGTTTTATCATAATCTAAAATAGTAAATAAGTAGTAAATCGTGAATACATTATATTCAATAATCATATATATTTTATGTTGCCATTATTCGAAAATCAATAATGTAATCGATATCTTTTGAGCCATATTGAGACAGACAGAAAATTAATTTAAAAACGTCAAACGGTAGGCCGAAATCCGAAAAAATTGAGTCTTATCGGAGTACCTACACTACGAGATAAGAACCCTAGACTTTCTTCCCCACGACGTCTCAAACCAACAGCCCACCATTTTCTGTAATTTAATTAACATTCCCTTGGATTATATAAATGAAATGAGTCTTCAAATTAGTATCTACTAAATTAGCCAAATTTCCCTTTGATGTTAATGCATAGATATTTTCGTCAATATATGTATTAAATAGAAGCAGACAGTACCAAATTATTCTTTTAAATAGCCAAAATATATATTTTTAATTTATAAAGATTTTTTCAATCTTGCATACAATTCCATTAGTCTAAATTGTTTTGATTGAACATTAAGAACTTCAAAGAGTGAAACTGTGTAAGAAATCAAAGCCATAAATTACTAATTACTCCTATTGAAAATAACTAAGATTAGTTCACGAAATTTAGCGTCAAGAACAAAAATTGTCATGGAATAAAAAAAATAACAGTTTAAAAAATCGGTCATATTAATTCTAAAAAGTTCACAGATAAAAAGTATTAAAGGATTTTACAAAAACATCAGCGGTAAATTTAAAGAAAAATAAAAAACAAACACAAAGACAATCAATCACTCGTCTATTTATGGAAGAATTTTAATTTGAGATATACGTTCTTGATTCACAAAATGGCGGCACAAACGTTTCACAGATATCAATGAAACGAATAAATATTATTCGCTTTGCCGCTCAAAAGAAATCATAAATCCGCGATTATGACCAATCCACTTATATTTTATTTTAACCTAATGGCGAAATTTCTTTCACTAATGTTCCTCGGCATTACTAAATGTTATGACAGCATAACCGCTTTGATATCGATTTGACAATTATAAATGATGATTTTACCGCCAATTTAAGCTTACCGCGCTGTTAAAGGCACCTGAACGCGGAGCCAATTTAAACTTTATTTATACGTCCTGCCTATCGTTAGGGCGCGTATTTCACTAATTTAACTAAGCGCAAAACGATACTCATAAATAACGTTTTAATGTTTCCGGACGTTAGAAATTCGCTGCCTGTGTTGCCGCCTCAAAAATTGATAGCCGCTTTAAAACTATTTCGCACTGGCAGCACTGTGGCCGCGGGCAAAGGAAACGGATACGTCTATTATATCATCTGAAAACATGAAAATATCAGAATAATGATCACGAGGAAATTATAAAATCTTTAATTTATTCGTGGTTTATTTGTGTTCAACGCTCTTTTCTTGTTTATATCGGGCGACGTTAAAAACATATTGGCCGTGGTCATTAGTTTAGGAACTTTATGGGACTATAAGCATTGGTTGTGGACGTAAATCCCGACAAGGGGTTCATTAGGAGATAATTTTGAATTTCACGCAAATGTTCCGCTCCCACTATTAAAACTTAATGTTTACTCACACTATGATTCATTAAAGGGTAACAAAGGATAAAGAAATCTTTCAAAATATTACAATTATTATACATAATATTATTTAGATTTAATATGTGTTAAGGTCTCAAATCTCTCTAAAACGAGATAAACATAAAAAAGCGTAGTCTTTGACATTAACATACTATAATTTTTTTTTGTTGACATTTATTATAATTTAATTTACTTGTCAAAATCAAGTATTATTCCCGTCGGTCAATATTTTATTATATTTTGTTATTTAACGAAACTTGTAGAACTGCTCGAGTACAAATAGATAATGGTTATTATAAGTACTCGAGAAGTTCCAGAAAGTGATTTGATGACTCAATGGCGCAGTTGCCAAGGTATTGGCTTCGGCGTCGGGGGTCTCGTGGGTTTAATTCCCACACGGGAAACTATTTTTACGACCCACTGATACTTATTTCGCATCTTGGTGTTCGTCCGCGTGAAATTTATGTGTGAAAAATAACCTTACAACACAGGATAATAATATCCTAAAGTAAGATAAATGTTTCTAAAACTAAAAATAAGTAAGTTCTTTTACGTGTGAAGAATTATTGCATTGCAGAATTTTAACAATTTATGTTGTAATTGTAATTTTTAATAAGAATGGACCACAAAACGTAGTCCACGAACATTCCACGGTGGTAGGACCACGCAGCAGCCTCGGCTGTTGCACGAATGGGCAGGCTCGTCCGGGTGAGTACCATGACCTCACAGAGGACCGGCGTCAAGTGGAAGTATAATACTTTCGCGTTTCGTCTGGTGAGTGAGGTAGCCGGAGCCCAATTTTCAACGCATCTGAAACCGTCGGGTGTAGTAGATGTCCATGGGCGGCGGTATTCACTTAACATCAGGTGAACCGACTGCTCGCTTGGCAATTTTTCACATAAAAAAAAACATACTGGCACAGGCACTCGGCGTATAGGCTCGAGTCCATTTTAATAAGTTAACTTTTGTTGCAGTCAAAGATCACCTCCAGAACTCGTCGGACATAGAAGCGGACGATGTCGAGACGGACGACCAGACCTCCAACATGGATGATGAGCTTCTCACCCAGTCGGACCTGGACGAGAACGGCGACCCAAAGAGCCCGGTCAGCTCCAGCTCGAAGAAGGGCAAAGGCTCCTCGAGGGACTCCAAGGGGGGCACGAAGCCCCGAAGGGCGAGGACGGCCTTCACCTACGAGCAGCTGGTCTCCTTGGAGAATAAATTCAAGACCACCAGATACCTGTCAGTGTGCGAACGGCTTAACCTGGCTTTAAGCCTCAGCTTGACGGAAACACAGGTCTGTAGCTTTTGAACTTGCTAGTATTTTGACCATTGAGCCTATTTTATTTTAAAAATAACATTTTACCTTGACAATAACGTCAGCTACAGCGGAAATTTTATTTGTGGCTCGTGATTCAATGATACCCTATCACAAAATTATTGAACGTTATTGTATTTTATTTATTATAAGATACATACATACTGATGACTCCGTGGCGCAGTCGCCAAGGTATCGGCTTCGGCGTCGGGGGTCGTGGGTTCGATTCCCACACGGGACAACTATTTGTGTGACCCATAGATAGTTGTTCCGCATCTGGGTGTTTGTCCGCGTGAAATTTATGTTTGTAAAACGTCCTTACAACACAGGATAATGTTATCCCAAAGTAAGGGCAATGTTTAAAAAAAAAAAAAAAAAAAAAAAAAAAAAAAAAAAAAAAAAAAAAAAAAAAAATTATAAAAATTAAATATGTGTAAAGTGTCATAACTAAGGTATTTATTGACCTTCCCCAGTTTTTTACAGCAGTAGTTAATAATGTACAAATCAGAGCAACCTACTTGAGTGTAGCCGTTCAATAATTAAATAAGTTTTTAATCATTCATTCATGGAACGAATCCAATTCTTAATTTTATTTTTATAGCAAAATTTTACTAAGATTAGCTAAATTTTAAACCTATTAAAGTGTATTTAAAATAGCCATATTAAATATGTTTATTTTTTTTAACTCTTCATGAAAATTAAAATTGACATTCGTACAGAAAACATTATAAACAAAAAAATGATCAGTAGAAGAACAGATAATAAGTATTAGATATGACGAGCGTAAATCTATTCGCTTCTAAACTCCTGCTCTCTTTCCAGGTCAAAATCTGGTTCCAGAACAGGCGCACCAAATGGAAGAAGCAGAACCCCGGGATGGACGTCAACAGCCCCACGGTGCCGCCACCACCGGCCGGGGGCTTTCCCTCAGGGCCCTATCCGGGGGGCCTCCTCTACTCCCACGGGGTGCCCTACCCGTTCACGGGGCCGGGCCCCTACGCGCCGTACTTCCACCACCTCGCCGCCAACCACCACCACACCCACGGCAGCCTGGGGCACTCGCACACGTGATTGTGGGCCCGCCCTGGCGCTGGCGAGACCAGGGTCGACAAGGATAACGACAGCAGCTGCGGCCTGTCAAACTAGTGGAATCGCGCGAATCAATCGATAACTAACTATTAGGACTTTAGTGCAATCTAAGTAAGGTGAAAATTATGAATCAATTGTGATACATTTATGATAAGGCCCGTTATTTTAACCCGCAGCTTTATTTGGTTTATTACGCAGGCTATCGATGCGAAAAGCAACTTTTAACATTATGAATCATTATAATTATTCATTCGTCATTTTTATTTAATATGAATCATGTATTGTTACATATTTGAATAGACATAATTATGTATGTTTTATTAAATATGTTTTTTTTATATTGTTTTCAGTTGTGGCATATTGATATAGAAATTTTAATTTCATCGTAACTTTGATGACATCGAATAACTTATTAATAACTTATAATATATCATTCACCGCCTATGTACGTAATGCTTATGAAATATAACTAAAAATAACCGAAAAATTTTTGGGTAAGAAAATGAAAATGTTGTCATAAGACAGAACGCCAATTAGAATGAGATTATCACAGCACGAAAATTGGTTATGTTGATCAATTAAAACGCTCTAACATTAAATTAACTTTACTTAATAAGTTTATCAGAAATATTTAGGTTTTGTAAATACCAAAGTCATGATTGTAAAAAATTTAATATTTGTAAATAATAATAACGTGATAATTTTAGTTTATTTATTGTTCATTATGATGCTCAACTTAGATAAGTTGATACTTTCGGCAATCTAAATATAAGTTACGCAGCGAAACAAAACGTATTGATATTTAAACTAAATTTAATTATTTTATCAATTCATAGTTGCCAGTGTGTTAGTGTATAAATTATTCAAAAAATTATGGGTGGTCATAACATATAATATAGTTGAATAAATCACACTTATACGGAAAATATTCTTAACAAATCGGTAACACAATTGTCTAAGAAATATAAAACGGAGGGCGCTAATGTGTAAACTTTTTGCAATGCTATTCAAATAAGAATAGGACTGACCTCGCGCGACCTTGTGACGTCATTGCTAATTCAGATATTTTTGAAATAATATTTATTTATTAATTTTGTATTTAAAGCATGAAAGCACAATGTTTTAATATACTTGTACATAAGTAAAATATTAATTTTAATCGGAATCGAGCACTTCAATTCTGTTAATTTCTGAGTAAAATGTAGTAAATGTAAATTCATCTTCATTACCGTTCCTTTTTCAAAATAGAAAATGTATTTATGTAGGTTTTTATATTATCCCACCAACTATTATTTAAAAAGATAGGCATTTTATTAACTATATAAAGGAAAATAAACACAGAAAAATAACTATTTAGAATCATTTTAAAACTAATTATTACTTTAATAGGTTTGGTCATACTTTTTAAAAATGTATTATAAAATAAGGTAAAATTTTAGAAGTGGAAAGTTAAATGTTCTTTGCGAGACATATTTTTCAAATGACAGCTGACAGATCGCGCTCATTCGAGGTTATTGACGTTTCTATTGTTATTTGAAACGCATTATACATATTTTGCACAAGGTTTTTTTCACAGACAAACACATAAATATTGTTTAAATCTAAACATCTATAATATATCTGAAAAACAAAAGTCTAAAAAGCATATATGTAATCCACTTTGTTTCTTTGTCAGATAGTATCACTTAAGAATTGACGGTGGGTTACTGTAATGTATTCTAAATGTATATTCTACTTTTACATTAATAAATATAATTTTACCATAGACAAACATCTGTATATGCTCGAATTTTGTAAATCGATAGTAGATATTGTAATATAATTTTAGTAAGTGGATATATCGAGACAAGCGATTCTCTTTATATTAAGGCAATAACTGAAATTTATAGTGCATAATGCACATTATATATAACGCAGTCTCAGGGTCACACTCGGATACTACAATTAGCACTAAGCAATTATAAAATCAATTAATTTGTAAAGTTTTTTGTGTATTTGGACAATGTATAAAAGACTCAATTTGACAAATTAATAAATTTTGTATTAAGCGAGCTAATCGACGTCTCTGCGTGCGACTGTTTCTCGTTAAATCCGCTTAACATTAATTATATCGCATCCATTGATGCTCAATGCTGTACATAGGAGTCGCCGGCGGCGAAACTACTTTGTAAACTCGATGTTGATATTAAAATAGTCTACAGTTACCCTATGATAGTTTTATTTTCTAATTAACACTTGTCTAAGTGGATAATTGCGTAGTTTTCTTAATAGTAGTAGATTTCACGACTTACTTATAAATTTCATTGGTATTGAATCTTGGGCTCCGGAGATATTTAGATAACTCCTGAGATATAATTATAAAATGAATACAGAGCGAGATTTGAAGTCGGTTTTGTTTGAATATGGTTGAACTTGTTAGGATAAGAATCCAGTATTGCACGAACAAAAATTTGTAAAATAACTATAAATATAGCAGGAGGCAACTTTATTAAAAGGTGGCAACACATCTGCAACCCTACGGATGTTGCAAATGTCCATGGGCGGCGTTTATCACTTAACACCAGGTGAGCCGCTGGCTCGCTTCTCACATAAATAAATAAATAAAGTGTACAACACCTGACGGGTTGCAAAGATATTGCCAGCCAAAGTACAAAGTGGATACTTACCTCAATCACCAGACGAAACGCGAAAGTATGTTCATTGTACATTCCTTGATTTACCGTGATAGATAAACCTTCTTCTGAAGAGTACTCTACCGAGTAATCTGCCGATGTTTCCACAAACCTTCGCACGATTTTCTAGTATTGCAGTACTAAACATAAACTATTTCAACTCTAGATGATGAAAAACAATAATAAACAATAAATAACGATAAAATTACAATTAATTAATTTCATTGTTACCGGCCGATATCTGGATATGAACTCGGGTTGCTCATCATTATCATTATTTCAGCATTTTTAACTCCACTGTTGGACATAAGCCTCTCCCACCTACTGCCACGTAGCACGAACCTGAACCACCTGCCTCCATCGACGTCCCGCACAGGTCGTTACTACATTGTTATCAATTATTATGCTACTATTACTATTATATAGCAGTGAAAATAATAGCAAGGCAAGGCATATCCAATCGATTTTAAACGTTCCTATATCGCTTAACATAACTGCTAACACGGAACCCATTCCCCGCTGGCAACGATCCGTAGCTCTCATATACTGAATTTGGGAAACGGAAAAATATTTAGCCAACGATTTTAATATCGTTCAACGTTCCAGTCAAATATAGAAATATATAACAAGCATGAATTGAAGCCCGACAAGAAGAAAAGAACAAAATTGTAATCATATTTATGTCACCAAAATCATATTTGTCCAAACGGGTTTGTCATCGTTTACACAAAATAAAAAAGAAAGCGCGAGTAGCAGTCGAGGACTACGAGTTCCAAATTATTAAGTACTTGTTATTCCATGATTTGTTTTTTGATTTAATACTAGCTTTCCGCCCGCGGCTCCGTCCGCTTTGAAGCCCTTAAATATTCTTTCTTAAGAAACATATTTTTTTTTAATAAAAGGAATCCTGTGTCCTTTTAATACCTCTAAGAATATGTGTACAAAGTTTCATGATAATCGGTTGAATAGTTTTGACGTAAAATAAAAAAAAAAAGTCACGTTCACATTTACAAAATTATTAGGGATATTAGTAGGGATACTTAGTAATTTCATAAATAACACCTACAAATTTATTTATTTATTTGATACACCAACGAAATGGACACTGAAAAAATTTAAGTGTACACTAATTATATGGAAAAACATGTTAAGTGCCACCTCAATTATAGGTGTATACGACATTTCAATTAAATGTGGTATTTGCATGAGAAACAGGATTATTTAAGCATTGAAAAATCAACGATTAAACTAATACAATTCAAATCAATCCAAAAAAAAAACACAGTTCATTACATTATCATTACATTATACACATATGAAGTTGAAAACGAAAATGTTATAATAAACATAGGAGTAAAAGTAAACGTCTGTGAAATATTTTGATTACATAATAAATTAATAATATTGGAACAAACAATATTAAAATTTTGACAATAATAAATTTTTAACAACAGTCGACATAAAAAATGACAAGTATCTAAACATTTTCGTCTCTTTTAATAACTTAAAAGCTGCTAAACCCTATATCTAGGCAAAAGGAATCTTGACGATTGATAAATTTAATTTTATAAAAAGTTGTCAAGAATAGATGTAAAAAAAAAGTAAAGTAACAGCCTATACATGTCCCACTGCAGGGCAAAGGCCTCCTCTATATAGAGGGTATCAGGGCATAGTCCACCACGCGGCCCCACTGCGGATTGGCGGACTTCACATATTTTCGAAATATATTTTTTTTGTTATTATTTCGAAAATATGCAGGTTTCCTCACGATGTTTTCCTTCACCGCGGAGCACGTGATAAGTCAGCACTTAAAGTTAAAAACTTCATTGGTGCCGGCACCGGGGATTGAACTCAGGTTGCTCGAGTATATTGAATTAAAGGCGAGCGCCCGGACACGGAGCTATCACGGCTCTGAGAATAGATGTATTAAGGTTTAATTTAATCATTCATCCATTAGCCAAGTTTTTTGAAATATAAAGGTTAAACTTTACTAAATTTCATCTGCCCCGATCCCAGATTTAATTTAACAAAACGTCGACTTCAGCAACAAGTTTATTTCGACTCTGTTCAATGTATCTCTGAGAAATATTTTTCCGGTCGGTAAATAAGGCGCCAGCTGTATAGTCCGCATCATAATTAATGTTGTAAATATGCAATAAGTACTTTTTAAGATAGCACGCAGCCATATGGGACACCAGCGTTCATGGGTTTGGCGTCAAAGCGTAAGAAAAGTGGTGATCAATTTGCACAATTTATTAGGAAGTATTAAAGATATTGGAAAGACGAAGTTCAAACTAACCGCCAAAA